ACAAGGTGGTCTCCAGCAGTAACGCAGTCCCCTGGCAATGCTGTACGAAAGTTGTTAAACCGACTGATCTCGTTAAAGATGTGGATAGTCGATGCAGAGTTACGAAAGTTGTTAAATCGACTGATCTCGTTGAAGATGTGGATAGTCGATGCAGAGTCCAAGAGGGCTGAGTTTTTCAGAGGGTATTGCGTGATGGCAAATGCGGTATAAGGTGCACGACCAGTAATGAACGCTGCGCACGTGGCCGTGCTGCATTTGCCAACACGTCGTACTAGTCATTCTTGTTGTGCATGGCCATCGTTTTTGGCTTTCAGCTGCCGTTTGACTTCTTTTGCAAAAGCCTTATCATTGGCAAGTCGATACTCGATCCCAGCTTTAATAGTCCGATTTCCTCGAAAATGATCTGGTGCAATGCTCTTGTTCACATAGAAACACTTCTTGATACCATGTCCCCTGAGGCCGCATACAGAGCACCTTCCTATGTCTAGGTTATCGTGATGACCCTGATTATCGGAGTCTTCGCGCTTCCGTTTCCTAGAAGCAGTCTCTTTTTCTTTTTCATTCTTAGCATTCCTTTTCCGTCCTTTGCGCTGGCCCGTCGACTGGTCTTGGGACTCTTCCGGACCTTGGTCGGATTCGGGTCCAAACGCAGGACCAAAAGCTCCTTTATGAACTCTCTGAGGTTGCTTCTTAAGTATGTTTTGTACATCTGCTTCATCATAGAGGGATGCCGCAACTTCCTTGTAATCAAGTGTATCGCTTCTGATTGCGGCAAGATGTCCATTTCGGAAGGATGAGCCCCATGCAGGCAGCACGTCCTTGACTGCCTTGCTTACATCCTTGAGCCAGTCGGCTGAATGAGCAACATCGGCTACATCTCGAATCTTGGCATAGGCAAATGCCTCCCTCCACTGTATGATCCAAGCCTCAAAATCTTGTGGTGTCTTCTTAAGCGGTTGGATCGCACGCTGGTATCGGTCGCGTGCCTTGCTGCGAAGCTGGACATCGTCGGCACACACCGAAGTCCTGATTCCGGTATACCAGACGCGGATTGTATCTTCAGCGTTACAACATGTCGTCCAGAGATGGTCACTTATTGACTCCTCGACCCATGTGCGAAGCTTGCTTATAGATGCCTGTTTTTCCTTGATGTCTCGGACCTCTTGTGTCCGGATCCTAACTTCTAAGTCATAGGTTGACCTGTCTGCGGGGAGAAGGTCATGCACTCCACGTGCCATGAGAGTAGGATGTGGGCGTTCAAACGATTGCGAGAAGTATTGATGCTGAGATGAGGATTCCAGAGTCTGTGACTGATCCCCTTCTGCTGTCCTCCGGCTTCGTCCCGTACTTGGGGACTGACCGTCTTGGCCAATAATTTGTCGTCTCGGATATTTGCCAATATCCGGCATTGGTGGTTCCTCTTCAAGTTCATCATCAGTTTCTGGATTTGCGTATTTCCAGATGTTATCACTGATAGCTCGAGCTTTGAACTTTTCGCTCCAAGATTCCCACTCGTCTGGGCCTTGGAGGATCATTCTTGAGGACTTTTCTGTAGGTGCCATTGTATCTCATCTGTATTGCGCGAGTAGCTCGAGATTGCAAATGAGACTCTTAATTGTCAGAAATACTGTGGCACTATTATTGAGATAAAAAATTGTGATGTATTGTTTTCTCTTTTTTTTCTTGTTTAACTTGAAGAATTGATGCCTTTTATCTTTATTCCCCAACCACCTGAATTTATTCAGGTGGTTGGCCAGCCTTCATATTTTGTAGTCACTGAGAATCTAACAGTAGGCCAGCGTTTCGCATATAGTTCAACTCTGCTATTTTTATCTCTGTCTCAAATTTTTTTTTTTTTTTTTTTTTTTTTTTTTTTTTTTTTTTTTTGCGGCGAATGCCGTCAGAAGTTTTACGGCGCAGCACCGGATGTATTTACACACAACCGTCACATTACAGGAGTCATTGTTAGCTAGTTATTATTGATACACGAGTAAGAATCCCGTCTATTCATTTTTCTCTTCTCTAAAAGAGTTATTCCGTCTATCTCAGTCTAGAAGGGTAGAGGCAGTTTTATATAACACATCCACCCTCTCTGCACGCTTCAGGGATATGGATCGTATTAAACAGTGGACTAGTTCTCGATTGAATCTGCCGAGCTAGGGAATTGAGAGCTCTTTTTATAGAGCTTTTGGCTAGTTATTGCTATTGATGATAGTTGCTCTCGGTGGATTTGAACTTATTGAAGCTAGCTTTCAGCCGCACCCGACTTTTTCCGTAGATACTCTGATCCCTCGCATGGCTCCAGTCAAAATATGCCATCCTCTCTTCCGTCGCCCATTCTGAAAAACTCTAACAAGGTAATGCAACGTCTGGACATTACTCTCTAGTCCAGACACTACCTGTTTCGACATCGTGGTCTCCGCTCTTGGGCTGATTTAATGGGGCTGCTTCAATCATCGCGATATGCTCATTGTCGCTCTGTCCGACAGCTCTGTCTACGTGTGTTTTAAACTTGCGAGGGTTTTGGCGGTTT